GCTGGCCTACTCTACGAATATGCAACAGGGAGTCACTTCGAGCTGAGGACCAATGTACGTGACGGTGTCGCCAATGCAGACTGCCAGCATACACCAGTTGCATGCCTCCCTCCCTCTCACATCCTCCCTCGACTCCCCACAGTGTGCATCCTCGACACCCGAAGGCCATCATCACCATCGCCAGCATGCGCCCCATCTGCCCGGCTATGGCCGCCGTGCATACGCTGCCACCGCAGCGCCCCTCTGCCCTCTAGCACCCATGTGCGCCTCTGGCCAGCCAGCGCTAGGCAGCCGCTCACGCTACAATGCAGCAGTGTGGCCGCGATGCCTGCCAAGGGCAGAATGTGCACTGGCTGGGCAGGGCACTTTCCTATATGGAAAGTGCAGCCCTGCTTCTGGCTACTTGGGCCTGGCGTGCGTGTGCCCAGTCGCGTCACGTTGGCCCAAAGTTTCTGCGCCCAGGCCCAATTCAGACAGTTGCCTGGGCCCACAGCAGTTGAGCTGCCCAACTGTGCCACATGGCGGCTTCTTGCTCCCTGCTTTGCCACTGGCCGAGAGGCCTGCACACACAGACCACGATCACACAACTCCAATATTGGCCAATATCACACAACTGCGGTATAGGCCTATACTGTTGACGACGCAACCGGATAATTACACCAGCTTCCAGAAGTGCCCGGAGGCTGCTTGCGAGAAGAGACTGTGACGAACTGGCGCGTGGAAACTGTCTGGCGCCCATTGTGCAGAAACGACAAAAATAGGGCCCTATTGCCAAATGTAGGCCCACCTTCCCTTCCCTTAGGCCGGGCACAAGGCAGTCTGGGGGACCCTTGAACGGAGCAGGGCGATGGCCTGAGGTCCACCGCGAGGGCTAAATCCTCACACCGGTCAATCCGATGATGATATCTCAAGGCCGTTGCCCTTTTCAAAAAAAAAAAAAAAAAAAAAAAAAAACACCGATCTTCATGTTGCGGCTTTTGCGGCTATGGTAATTGCTCTGGTATTGAGCTCTTTCCAGAAAACTCCAATGATAAGCTTGCAGTTAACAAGTATTTACTATTTAGTATTTAGTATTTACTATTGACTGCAGACCGTTGGATCTATACACAGCTTCATGATCTATACCGCAGCTTCATGATAACTATTTAGTATTTAGTTACTTTTTAGTATTTACCAAGTTTTTAGTACTACTATATTTACTGCACACAGTTTCATAGCTGCAAAATCCACAATCTATAGTTGGATATAAGGATTTTACCCCTGGTAAGCTTGCAGTAAATATGCCTGGAGTTCATTTTACTCATATCCTTCATCTGCTTTGAGTGCAGTTCGAACTCAGGTCTGTATTTCAACAGTTCAGTAAGCCTAGAGCTCATAATTACTTTAGACAGTTGGATCTATATACATAACTATTTACTATTTACTATTCACTATTTACTATGATACCTCCATCTGCCTGCTAACCTTAGTAATTACTGCGGTTAAGTCAAGTTACCATGGCAAGTCATTCTTACTATTTACTATTTACTACGATACCTCCTCCATCTGCCTGCTAACCTAAGCAGTTACTGCAGTTAACTCAAGTTACCATGTCAAGTCATTCTGCACGCCACCGTCTGACTCTTCAATGACTTCCAGCTACAACCTGACTAGTTACTGCAGTTAACTCAAATTACCATGGCTAACCTGACTGGCTACTGCAGTTAACTCAAGTTACCATGCTAACTCAAGTTACCATGTTAACTCAAGTTATCATGGCGAACCTACGTCAATGGGTCACGACAACATCAGAGTTTAAACTCACCTCGTAAATACGAGGTGAGTTTAAACGCTGATGTTGTCGTGACCCATTGACGATCCGTTTCAAATGTGAAAGCACCATTGAAATCAATACTTTAATTTCAAGACTGGAGCAGAAGAAACAAAACCTAATCTTCAGGACGAGCAGCGAGCAATCGAAAGTACCAAAGATCCCAAACGAGCTTGCGTGCACGCACCAAAATCCTGCAACCCAGAATCGTAAACAGCTACATCTCTCCTGCATAAAACATAAACCTCGTCCTTCGGGATATAAGCTAAAAAATTGGAACGATACAGAGAGGATTAGCATGGCACCTGCGCGAGGATGACACACATAAATGGAGAAATAATCCACAATGGCACATCGAGGACTCAAAGACCCAAGAAGGACGAAGACGGACTTGTACGCTAATCAGATATATCGCCCTGTGCACAGAGAGTGTGAGAGGCAGGCACCAAGAGGAAGACGGTTGAGAGAGAGAGAGAGAGAGAGAGAGAGAGAGAGAGAGAGAGAGAGAGAGAGAGAGAGA